TGTTACCAATTTCCCTTAATGAAAACTAACAGTCTTCCAAATGCATGTTCTTGAAACATAATGTTTTTTTTTTTAACGGTTTTTGCCATAGGGCATGTACACGCAGCGGTTGAGAGAGACAAAGAGAGAAAGACAGTGAGAACTCACCCCCTGGGGGATAACCACACTGCAATCCCTTCGCCTTCATTCTTGGGCTTTTGGGCATGTATGCACATGTGTCCAGTATGATTTTTAAGCTGCCAGATCTGGGACTCAAACCGCGGTTGGCCATGTGGGAATCCAGCACCTTAACCACCACTTCAACTGCTGACCCCATCAGAATGTTGTTTTAATTCTTATCATATATGTAAACATCTAAGAGTTTCTATGTAAAAATAAATTTATCCTTCCTAATTCTTTAGTAACTACTCTATTTTAAAGATGTTTCTTGCATGGATTCAGCTAGTATACTTTTTTCTTCAGAGATGAAATACATATATAAATATATATGAAATCATCCCCCAGGGGGGATGGCCACGCTGCTATCCCTTCTCCTCCATTCTCCTCTCGGGATCTTGGGCACACATGCACACGCGCCCGGCATGAGTTTTAAGCCACCGGGTCCGGGACGCGAACCGCAGTCGACTACATGGGAGTTCAGCGACATCGCCATTACGCTAACTGCTGGTCCCCCAGAGATAAAATTTTTATCAGAGTCTCAAAAACTAATCATTTTAACATTAGATTAATGATCCTAATTGTTGAAGGTTCATAATATGAACAGAGGACAAGCATTAAAGACACTTATGAAATTATAATAACAAGCATGGCATCTAGGAGACAAAGGTAGAATATTTAATGAAATACTAAAGTTGAATAAAAGTTTTGGCAGTAAAAAGTTCTCAATTTATTTCACTATGTTGTATTAGTTTCCTCAATTATATTGAAAGAGAAAATTTGAAAGTGGGAGAAAAATAAAGACTTACAAATGGAGAGGAGGGGGAAACAACTCATTCATTTTAGTTATTCAGTATGAGTTGTAGTGACTACAATTTACTTTTTTCCCTTGGAGTTATAAGTTATTAAACAGCTAACTTTAATACAGTAATGAAAAAATTGCCCTCAAGAGGTAGAAAATAAGAGCATTCAAGTAACAGGTGTTCTTTTTAGATTATTCCAAGCATTCAGAATATGGCACTTTAAACATTCATAAAAAGCATGAGGTGATATTTTTGTTAGTGTTGATAATGATGATACAGGTGTTTGATGGGTTTGGGTCTGAAAAGCAGCAGGATGTTTTGTTAGGCGAACTGAGAAGAAGAAAGGGGATGACGCAAAAGGGTTACAGGTGTGACAAGCTTTTAGAAGACTTGCTCTGTTTACATAACACATTGATTTATTCATTAGTCTTCACAAACATACACTAAATGCTCATTACACCTAAGGCCCCAGGTAGGGTGTCTATGAGTGTATAAAACTGAGAAGGCATGTGTCTCACTCTCCAAGTGCTTATGGTTGAGGGCCATGTACTATACACAGATGACTCATGTCAAGTGGTGCTTAATAAATGGCACAAACTAAGTGGTATTGCTCTTGTAAAAGTGAGATCACTTTGTTACGGGGCTCATAATAATAGACTTCCTGGAGGAGGTGCTATCCCAGAGGTAAACAAGTTAGATTTTCCAGTTAGAGATGTTTGAGGGGTGGTGAAAGTGATCCAGGTACAGCAAAATGGGTCTAGTTGAGACACAGTGATGAGCAAGTATGAAATACATA